TCTCCTGCCTCTGCCTCCCAAGTAGCTGGGACCACAGGTGCCCGCCATGACGCCTGGCTATTTTTTGGTTGCAGCCATCATTGCTGTTTAGCAGGCCCAGGCTAGATTCAAACCCGCCACCTTAGGTATATGTGGCTGGTGCCTTAGCCACTTGAGCCACAAGCACCAGGCCTGAATTTTTTTTTTTTTTAAGAAATAAGAGTCTCACTCTGTCACCAACACTGGAGTGTGGTAGCCTCATCACAGCTAACTGTCACCTCGAAATCCTGGGCTAGTGAGATACTCTGGCCTCTGCCTCCCTGAGTCGCTGCAACTATAGGTGCTTGTAACTAGGCCTGGCTGTTTTTTTTATTTTTTAGTAGAGACAGGGTCTTGCTATGTTTCTAAGGCTGGTCTCAAACTTCAAGCCTTAAGTGATCCTCCTGCCTTGGACTCCTAAAATGCTAGGATTATAAGCATTAGCCATATACATGCCCAGCCTCTCTTATGAATTCTAATCAATTTTTTTTTAATTGACAATCACATGAACTGCAAACATTTTCTTTTTCCTCTCCAATTCTAATAGCTTTTGTTGCTTTGTTTAGTTTTCCTTATTTCACACCTTGTGTCCCCAGTACAAGATTACATGGTCTGAGGACGGTGGGCACCTTTATCTTGTTCTTAACCTAAAACAGATTTGAGCCCTTTACTTTCAGTGTCAGGCTGGGAGGGTTCCCTTCTACCTTTAGGCTTTACTCTTCTTTTTTGTATCACTCTCAGTAGAGGGCCATTGCATGATAGCTCACAGCAACCTCCAACTCCTGGGCTTAGGCAATTCTGTTGCCTCAGCCTCTTGAGTAGCTGGGACTACAGGTGCCTGCCACAGCGCCATGCTATTTTTTTGTTGGTTTGGCCGGAGCCAGGTTTGAACCCACCGCCCTTGGTACATGGGGCCGGTGCCCTACCCACTGAGCCACAGGTTCCGCCCTCTCTTTTTCTCTCTTTTTCTTTTTTTTGGAGACAAAGTCTTACTATGTTGCCCTGGGTAGAGTGCCATGGTGTCACAGCTCCCTGCAACCTCTAACTCTTAGGCTTAAGTGATTTTCTTTTTTTTTGAGATAGAGCCTCAAGCTGTCTCCCTGGGTAGAATGCCATGGCATCACAGCTCACAGCAACCTCCAACTCCTGGGCTCAAGCAAGTCTCCTGCCTCTGCCTCCCAAGTAGCTGGGACCACAGGTGCCTGCCATAACACCCAGCTATTTTTTTTTTTTTTTTGGTTGTAGCCATCATTGTTGTTTGGCGGGCCTGGGTTGGATTCGAACCCGCCACCTTAGATGTATTGGCTGGCACCTTAGCCACTTGAGCCACAGGCGCTGAGCCGGCTTAAGCGATTTTCTTGCCTCGACCTCGCAAGTAACTGGGACTACAGGTGCCCACCACAATGCCTGGCTATTTTTCTTTTGTTGCAGTTGTCATTGTTGCTTAGCTGGCCCAGGCTGGATTCAAACCCACCAACCTCAGTGTATGGACCTGGCACCATAACCACTGTGCTACCAGCTCTGAGCCTAGGCTTTACTCTTGTTTTCAAAATTAATCAAGTAACTCTCAAAACCTGAATGTCCCATTAGGACAGAACCTGGCTAACTAATCTTTGTCCTTCTGGTCAGGGACACCCATACCTTGATCTCACCTCTGCCTGGCTCTGCACATCTGGAGATCTCGAGATTCACTGCTGCACTCACTTCCTGTCACGGATGACTCTATATACAATCTGAAATATTTTCAGCAGCCCCAGCCCATCGATTCCTGACTCAGCAGCCCCAGCCCATCGATTCCTGACTCAGCAGCCCCAGCCCACAGATTCCTTTGCTTAGAGGCCTGACAGATGTCTCCCCAGGTGGCAGCCACTTCTGTCAGCAGCCCAGTCTGAACTGGGCCCACAGCCCTGCCAGAACCCACTCAGCCCTCAGGGAAGGAGGGGCAGCTCACTCACCTGAGTGGCCACTCCCCAGGCCCTGGCTCTTAGCTCCCTTCCTGTCCAGGACCCATGGCTCTTCCCCTCGCTCCAGCTGAGAGATCACTTCAGGCTTGGCTCCTGGAAGTCCTGCTCATGGAGAGGGAAGTCCTTTATTTATACAACATTTACCTAGCCCCTGTGCCCCTGCCCCTCCCATCTGCAGGGACAGGAAAATGGAAAGGACTGACCACTTGCCGGAGTTGAGCAAGCAAGGCAGTGATGAGTGAGCCCACAGGATCCTCCTACCCTGGCCCTCACACAGTCCCATCCACAGACACACAGGCAAAGCCTGTGGAGGGGCTTACCCAGCGAGACCACATTCCCATACGTCTCCATCATCACATTTCGGTACAGGCCCCTCTGAGCAGGGCCCAGACGGTCCCACTCCTCCTGGGAGAGGAGCACGGCCACATCCTCGAAGGTCACCTCAACCTGGAATGACAAGGGCTGCTGTGGGAAAAACTGACCCTCCACATTTATGAAGGAGACTCAGTATGTGTGACACGGGTGGTTGAGGGGCCCTGTAAGCCAAGGAGACAGTGGAACAGGGCCACAGAGTTCAGGGAGTCCTAAGTGTGGGGTTGAGGCACTGCAGAGACCACGGGGATGGCTCACCTGGGGTCTTGTCGGCTGTGGTGGGAGCCTGGCTGCTGCCATCACCTGGTTTCCTGGAGCCTCTGGGGACCACAGAAATCACAGGCGCCTATGAGGCTGAGGAAAGTAAGGGGGCACATGAGGGGTCCAGCCTTGTCCCTGGCAGATCCTGACATCCTGGGGGAGCCTTAGGGATTCCTGGGCCTTATGCAGAGAGATACCTAAGGAGCTGCAGCTGCCACAGCCCCGCCCCATGAACTTTTGACCCTACAGTTCAGGAGAGCATCCAGGCCCCAAACACAGTTCCTGGGCTCTCTGGTTATCCCAGGAAGGTCTCTTGACACCAACTGTAGGGCACCAGAGGCCCCTAAGCCTTAAGACCTTGGAGTCCTTGTGGTTGACCTATCACAGCTATGTGGGGAGAGCTGGCAAGGACTCTGGGATGTCTGCCAAGCTCACCTTGGCCTATTCATGGTCCTGACCACACAAGAACAGCAGCTCACTAGGGCCCTGTGCATTCTGTACTAGGGCCCTGACAGGCATCAGACTGTCAACAAGTCACAGGGGGTTATGCTGCCTCTCATGAGGAGGTGGAACACACCTCCATGCCTTCCTTGTGCCCAATATCCTTTGGCAGCCTGGTGCTCCGATGTGGCAAAGGCTTTCAACCTATTGGCTCAAACAGGGTGTTGGAGATGGGGACATGATGTGAACCCAACTGAGGTACTCAGGGATGTGGTCTGAACACCTAATGGGAGTGCTGCTTTCAAGTGAGAAGGGGCAGCCTGCTGGCGGATGGCCCTGGTAACCCACCAGTGCTTGGTGAGCCACACCATGTCTGACACACCCAAGCAGCTCTCTTGGCATGTGTGTTCCTGTGCAGGATGGGGTTCAGTCTTCTGGGCATGAGGGGAGGAGTCTGTGACAAAGACCCAGACACCCACCAGATGACCAAAGTGGGTAGATCATTCCAGAAAAAGGCAGTACAAGAGTGCAGTCAAACCTCTCTTATACCTGGGTGACTCAGCTGGGCACCCCAAGAGGACATTTCATGAGTGAATAGTACGCGTCCTGGGCCACCGGGAGGGCAGGGCGTGTGGCCAGGAAGTCAAGGCACAGCACAACCCTGTGACCTTTTCTTTTTCTTTTTTAGGGACAGGATCTTGCTATGTTTCCCAGGCTAAACTTGAACTTCTGGGCTCCAGCCATCCTTCTACATAAGCCTCCTGAGCACCTGGGACTATAGGGTGTGCCACTTTCCACTATCTTTATAAAAAGTCAGGTATGTGTGTCTAGCTGCATGGATGACGTTTGAACAACACAATAACAAGAATATAAGAACATCAGCTGCTTCTGAAGAACAGGAGAGGGAGACTTAGTGGAGAGGGGCTGACTCCCAACCTCCCTGTTCTGATCTCCAAAAATGTCCATTCCTGGCGGCATCTATGGCTCAGTGAGTAGGGTATCAGCCCCGTATACTCTTGCTCCAGCTACTCAGGAGACAGAGGCAAATTGCCTAAGCCCAAGAGCTGGAGGTTGCTATGAGCTGTGACGCCACAGCACTTTACTGAGGGCGACAAAGTGAGACTCTGTCTCTAAAAAATAAATAAATAAAAAATGTCCAGGGCGGGACCTGTGGCTCAGTGAGTATATTGCTGGCCCCATGTACCGAGGGTGGTGGGTTCAAACCCAGCCCCAGCCAAAATGCAACCAAAAATAGCCGGGCGTTATGGCCAGCGCATGTTGTCCCAGGTACTCAGGAGGCTGAGGCCAGAGAGTTGCCTAGGCCCAAGAGCTGGAGGTTGCTGTGAGCTGTGACGCCACAGCACTTTACCAAGGGCAACGAAGTGAGACTGTCTCTAAAAAAATAAAAATAAGGGCAGCATCTGTGACTCAGTGAGTGGGCACCAGCCCCATATACCAAGGGCAGCGGGTTCAAACCCGGCCCTGGCCAAACTGCAACAAAAAAATAGCTGGGTGCTGTGATGGGCGCCTGTAGTCCCAGCTACTCGGGAGGCTGAGGCAAGAGAATTACCTAAACCCAGGAGTTGGAGGTTGCGGTGAGCTGTGATCTACCAAGGGTAATAAAGTGAGACTCTGTCTCTAAAAAATAAATAAAATAATAAAATAAAAATAAAACTACCTTGGAACTTACATGAACAGTGGATGCTGGCTCGGCGCCTGTGGCTCAACCGGCTAGGGCGCCAGCCATGTACACCTAAGGTGGCGGGTTCGAATCCCCAGCCCGGGCCCGCCAAACAACAATGACGGCTGCAACCAAAAAATAGCCGGGCGTTGTG